TTGTCACTATATATATATATATATATATATAAAGCGGGAGTAGTATTTACTTGTAGTTTCTCTCTTATGGAAATGTGGCATTAATTCTTGATATTTATTTTAATAAGCGAAAGATTAAAGAAAGGCGATTTTTTAAGAACAAAAACCACATTAATTTTTATAAATGAGGAGTTAAAGAGAGTTGATTTGATTTTATTAGAGACTAAACAAAATATTTGTAGGAATTAAAAACATATTTATTCCAATAAATAATTTAAAATTTTGAATTACGAAACTAGACATAGAACATATTTTAATAAATATGATATCTTTTCAGGATAAATAAAAATGTTATTAATAAGAGCTCAAATGTCAAATTATTTATTGTTATATAATAATGCAAATTCAATTTTTTGAAAATATATTAGCAATTATATGCATTAAATAGTAAGGTAGTTATAATCAAAATGTTAACATTTTAGTTAGACTAGTGTCGTAGGCTAGAAGGACCAATCACAAAAATTATATAAACTTTGTTTTCCTTTTATAGATGTATATTTTTTTATAGTTGAAATTTTTTTTCACTTGAGAATAGGTGTTTTAGAAGTTTTGATGTCAAAGATCTTATTCAAAGAAAATGAAACATATACAACTTAATCATTTGTTAATGGCAGTTCTTAATGGGTTGTTAAGCACAAAAACAAGTTATTATTCAAGTTTCACATTTGACGAAGGAGGCTAAGTTGGAAACTATATGGTATAAGATAATAACTAATTATTTGTATTCTTTTATATATATATATATGTGTGTCTTAATGTCAAAATATCTTTTAGCACAAATTGTAAAGTGGTTGATTTATATGAAAATCATCTTAAGTTCTCAAGCGGTTTCACCAATAGAGTAAAAAGTTGATGAAGTTTTAATTTCGGTATGACATAAAAAGACTCACCAAAAATAAGTTATAAAAATCAATCGGAGAGTGCATAATTGCTTTTATTAAAAAAATATTTGAAAGGGTAAAATGATAAACAATAATTAAACTTTAGATTTCAAAACTTTTATATAATTTTGACAAGTTAGAGTTCTTTAGTAATGTATGTGAGAGATCTCATGTATTATATTACTTGGTTTTAAACTAATTAGGATTAGAAGAGAACATGAATTTAAAAATAAAAAACATTGCATATTTTTATTTATATGGAAACATATCATACTAGATTTTAATTTATTTTTAGGCATAATTACTTATTTGGGTGCGAGTTTTCGCAGAAAAATTCCTCTCTAATCTCCTTTGTCAACTTTGTGCAACAATGAGAGGAATAATATGTGTTCTTCCTCAACCTTGGAGACACCTTCGCTCACCAATTTATGAAAAATTACGTCAATGTAATAAAGTATATATTATATAATTTTTAAAACTTTTAAATTATTTGATTTTTTATTGTATCAATTTAAATTGATGTTTATATATTTATAAAAATATATTATATGTCTATTTAAATTTATATAATAAAATATTATATAATTTTAAAATTTTGTAAAATTGATTTATTTAATTAATAAAAGAAATTAATTTAACAATTAGATTAATTAGATTATTGAAATTTTAAATAGACTGTAAGTTATTAAGTTAAGTTATTCATGGAATAAGTGAATTTTTTTTCATGTATATATTTTTTTTTTAAGTTAAAGAACTGGAAAAGAAACACTCGTTTGCTAATTTTTTAGTTTTTCAATTTTTCAAAAAAAAAGTCTTCCAAAGCAAACTATAACAGTATTAAGTACTCGAGTGCCATTATGAAAATTTTGATAAACTAGTTTCAGAAAACAGTATTGTTTATGTTGTTGGAAGCCAACTTCATGTTTACTAATTTTTGTACCTAATGATGCTACATGGAAAACAATCCTTTGTGCCTATATCAAGAGGTACACATCTACAACTACAACTAAGTGCACAAGCAACAAACACAGACCTTCCACTCTAAGGTCACTGCAACTATGATCCCAATATAACAAAAGATCAGAAAGGACCAATCAATAGAAAAAGAAACAAAAAGGATCCATAATTGTCGACATGGCTAGCTGTGTTTGGACATACGCCTATTACGCGGGTCCAGTCACAAACTAGCGTCTATGATGCTAAAGGTACAACTGGTAGCTTCAGTTTTTACATGGAAAATCACTTCTAGAATCAGAACTACCGACATTGCTTTGCAGAAAGTTCTCATATGAGATCCTCACATAGCGAGAAATGTCAGAAGGTTCAGCCATTGCACCAGTCTCATATTCCTCTGCACCTGACCTCCGTTTAACGGGTTGAATGATAGTAATGCCAAGATTAACAATGCACAAGCATTGCTCTTTTGTTAAAGGATTTTTCCACGTAAAAGGGCTCATCGATGGTGCAGCAAAAACTAGCTTTTTCATGGGGTTCCATGCTCGCACAGTACTTGTCAGTAGATCGTCACATAAGCCCCCCGCAATCTACAACGCCATATCTCTAAAGGTTAAATATATACGTAGAAACATACATTTATTTATATACATAGCAGATGATTCATCTTATAAATAGTAGTGAAAGCAGTAGAAATGAAAATATTAAAATGGTTGTGTAGCTACATATAAGAAATGACATGATGCAAAATAAATGCATATACAAGATAATGGTGTAACACTGAAGCAATCGATCAAGGTGGTTTGGTCACATTCAAAGTCACTGATAACAACACAAGTGAGGAGAGTACACTGCATGGTTTTTGGTCTTTAACTAAGCTAAATAGCTTGCATGATTTATGTTACCTACCTCAACGTACGAGATAAATGACTTTTATAGTTGTAGATTATTTATCTAAATAAAAAATGCTAGCAATTTATATACTTTTAATTTTAACACTCAACTATTGAATGAAATTTACGAATATTAGTAAGTTATATTACTAAATCAGAGAGATATTCATTAAATGAGACGTAAGATTTACAACATTTGTAATTTTTAATAAATTTTAGTCGATAATAAAGAGATGGTGTTAAAATTAAAAAAAGTGTTGTTAGTACTTTTTATCTAAATTGTGTAAGTTTCACAAAAGTGTCAACTTTGTTTATACATATAACTAGAAAAGTTTCTATCTATCTATCATTTGATGGTAAAGAAGAGTCGAAATCTGGCAAGTTCGATTACCTTGGCAAGGGTATTCGCCGACAACGGAGCAATGACCAATATATCAGCCCATTCAAGAAGCTCAACGTCCATTCCTCTCCAAATATACCACTCATGTTCATCGTGATAAGCATTTGCATCATTGGGAAACGTTGCTCTATCAATAAAAAACAACGATGATTGTGTGACAATACATCTTACTTCTGCCCATTCTAAAAAACAACGACAAAGAAGTCCAAATTTTACAGCAGCAGTACATCCACAAGCAGCAAGTACAACCCGAGGCTTCTTCGGAGGAACCTGAGGCTCTGATTTAACACCACTTGAACAAGAACCTGAGCTATCCATCACCCACAGGTTTCAATTATAATCTTGGCCTCTACCCTGTCCTGAATTTCTAAACATATAACCATATCTCAGTTTTCATATATCAGCTAGAGCATTTATAAAGGCAAAGAACCATAACAAGTTCATATTCAATATTCACCCTTGCAAGAATTAGAAACTGTAATTAACACATGATGAACATTAAATCATCGTAGGGAATCAAAGAGTTTAGACCATCATGACAAAGGAAGCATATTTATCAAACAAAAGGGAGCATATAATAAGAATACCGTGTCACCTCTAGATGATCACAACCTCACAAAGCATCAAGGCATTTGTCAGGAACGAGAGAGAAGAAGTTGCTTGTAATTACATTAATCATAAGGAAGGGACCATCAAGAAAGAAAAATACCATGTAAGGCATATTCAGAGACCATGAATGATCACTACAAGAAGAGACAGAACTGAATCTTGAAACAGACGAATTTATTCTATCATGCAGAGCACACAGCAAAAAGTGCACGACCCGTGAATTAAAATTGCATAAAGATTAGGAACTCCCATCAAAGACTCGATTTTGAAGCTTTTAACGTTGATGGGGTGCTAGAGATACTTCATCACCAAATGACACAAAACCAAAGGGGAAGAATAAAACAAAGAATGAAAGTGTAAAAGAAACTCCATCACCTTATGAGATATACAACTCTGATGATTGACAAATCTTCTTTTCTCTTTCTTATGGCTTCAGAATCAGAAGACCAGAGGCATGCATGACAAGCACAAGCTTTTTGAATTTTCTCGGAAGAAAATTCTAATAGCGGTCCGTCGTGTTGTGAGAGTGAAACATGTATGATGGACCTATATAAACCCAAGGTAAGCTCGTTATCAGAATGGAGCGGTTCTATCATGAAGTCTGAAGCACTTCACCAAGTGTCTCACAGATAGGGATGGATAGCAATGGGGTACATGGGACGGGTAATATTAAATTTGACCCGCCGGATGAAAATTGGCTCCATACTTACTCCATATCTGTGTGAGTATCTATTAAGTGAGTATCTATAAATTTCTTGAATACCCCGGATATTCATGAATATTTATAAATTTTTAAAAATTAAAAATTATATTATAAATAATTTTAAGTTTATATTTAATATTATTGAAATATTAAAAATAAAAATTTAATATTAATTTTGAACTTATATTTAACATTAATTTTGTTGAAATAATAATAAAAAGAGTTAATCACCTATATATACTGTTAGTGTAAAGTTTTTTTTACACTAGCAACCAATTATATCTTTTAATTATGTTATGTCATTGTTAAAAGTAAATGTGTTTATAGTGACAGACACAATTAAAAGATATAATTGGTTGTCAGTGTAAAAAAACTTTACACTGTCAGTATATAAGTGATTAATTCTAATAAAAATGCAAGATAATCAATAACTTAAAATACATCAATCTCACAAGTAAGAGAAAGTTGTTAGAATAGTGGATTAAGCCTAACTCAACCCTACAAAACCGGCTTGTAAGGTGAGAGTTGCTTTTCACTTATATACTATTCAATTGCCTAATCTCTAGTCGATGTGGGACTTGGGTTTTTCCCAATACACCCCCTCACGTCCAGCACTATTGGGCTTGGTACGTGGATAAATGGTGGGTGGCCCTTTTTAATGATCTAGGATTGGCGGGACTTGGGTTTTTTCCCAATACACCCCCTCATGCCTATGAGGCATGCATCAATGGTAGGTGACCCATTTTTAAAGTGGATCTAAATGGCTTTGATACCATGTTAGAATAGTGGATTAAGCCTAACTCAACCCTACAAAACCGGCTTGTAAGGTAAGGGTTGCTTTCCACTTATATACGCCGGTTTTGTAGGGTTGAGTTAGGCTTAATCCACTATTCTAACATGGTATCAGAGCCATTTAGATCCACTTTAAAAATGGGCCACCCACCATTGATGTATGTCTCATAGGCGTGAGGGGGTGTATTGGGAAAAACCCAAGTCCCGCCAATCCTAGATCATTAAAAAGGGCTACCCACCATTTATCCACGTACCAAGCCCAATAGTGCTGGACGTGAGGGGGTGTATTGGAAAAAATCCAAGTCCCACATCGACTAGAGATTAGGCAATTGAATAATATATAAGTGGAAAGAAACCCTTACCTTACAAGTCGGTTTTGTAGGGTTGAGTTAGGCTTCAATCCACTATTCTAACAAAAGTCTCATATCACAAAGATGAGATAGTGTAGTTTTAGAGTTATGTGGTATAAGGATAATTAAGATATTTAAGAAATATTATTGAACGGGTACCTGCGGGTATGGATATCATCATACCCGCCCCTGCCCCGTTTATAAACAGATAAAAAATTACCTAATTAGCCTATTTATTTATTATCCGTAACGGATTTTACTCGCAAATACATGCGGGTGTAAGTATTTTTGTCATCCCTACTCACAGATGAGGTAGGTATTTTTTTTTTAATAATAACACTTTATTAAATAATTTATTTTAGAAAAATTTTTATACATATCTAATAATTTAAAATTTTGTTTTATTATAGGGTGAGTCAAATTTTATTTTATTTTTGGTAGTGAGAGGAGGAACCGGTGAAGCAGTCTTAGGATGAAGTCATGCTGCAATGACTTAAAAAGGCAAAATCCTCTGACTGGGACATGCCAGACACCACGTCGAGGCGGTGGAATGTGACCCCGATAGCCACTAATGAAGATCTTTTCTTTTAAGTTTTGAAGTAAAATTATTATTTTTAATTTAATTATTTTTATAAATATTTTTCTCTTAAATGAACTCTACAAAAATATTATATTTTTACATATCATTAATAATTTATTTATTAACTTAATTTTTTTATGAAATTATGAATTAAGAGATTTTTTATTTTATTATTTTGTGAAATATTGTTTATGATATAAAATAAATATTTAACTAAATTAAATTTTATTTAAAATGATGAAGTTGACTAAATATTACATAATTTTAACAATATAAAAATTATAAAATTAAAAAAAATATATAATTAAAATAATAATTAATTTTGTGAATTATCGAAAACAAATTAAAGAAATAATTGAAAATAGATAAAATTGGCTTAAGAAAAAACATATGATGAATTTTATTTATATAAGTATTGATATATAAAATTATAATAATTTTTTTTATAATGTTAAAAAATATAAAAATAATATTACTGTATAAAATTAGCTTTAACAAAAAAAGTTTATCAAATAAAATTTAAAAAATATATTATAATTTTAATTTTTAATTA